ACTTCCTCCTTATACTTCCTGATTCATTAACATTCCTTTATGTCATCCTCTTACTCTCATGTCCATACCTACCCAACATCTTCTCATTATCAATTTTCTTTCACCTACAAATCCACTAAAATCAACCAATCACCACTATGTCCAAACAAAAAATATGTGGTGAAAGCTTCCATACAGATGTAATCATTCATTTCTCAAACATTAAATACATACATTATATTTTGTCGTAGCATTCACATACAATTGCAGTTTATACAGACTATGCCAGGGGTCAGCAACACCCAAAGAGCCATTTGGTAGAGTTGGATGTCTCGAGACCGGTCTTGGTCTCAAGACCACTTTTACGTGGTCTTGGTCTCGACGGACTTTTGTCTACCATTTGGACCCAGTTTCCACAGAAAAGAAAACACTGGGAGCCGCAAATACTTTTTGTCATCTAAAATGAAGATAACACTGTTATTGTTGTGCCTTGTATACACCTGTATTGTGTATTGTGTTGCTTATGAAATCAATGAACTGCTACAGAGAAAATTAAATTTTATTTATGGAATGAACACATTTTGAACTCTTAAAAAATATAACACAAAGGAAAGACAGTTGAAGGTCTCTTTTAAATGAATTAAAAAGCTGAACTTAAATTATTCATATACCAAACAAAAACTGTAGCGTTGAGCTGAATTTTAAAAGTAATTGGAAAAATTCACTCAACTGCTAAAAAAAAAAGAGAAAAAGAAATATTTGCAAAATATCTGTATAAATGTTTATTTTAAGTGGTTGACGTGTGTGGCGGGGCGTGGTCTGCACGCTACAGGGGAGGCGGACGCACCTGAGCGGCATCCGCAATCAAGCCCCCCCCGGCTTAAAGTCTGTGCTCTCTCTGCTGTTGTGTCGACTGTGTGGCTACAGCAACAATGTGTAAAAATGTTCAATAAAGAAAAACAGCATGTACATGCAAACATCGCTGGGTCTGCCATGGCGCACAGCGTCTGCAAATCGGGGCTGTACGAAGTCACTTCATCTTTACGCAGGACTGTAAGCTGCCGTCTGTGAGGCGTGAGCGCTGTTTGTTTTTACCGTAGTTCATGGTGGAGAACAGCTGCTCACATACGTATGTGGATCCGAAGCTCCATACTTGGCCTGCCTGGGGTTGACAGTCTCCACAAATGCAGGGCATTTCGGCTGATATGGTTTATGCGAGTGTGACGCTTATTTTGAGCGATTAAAAATAATAACATATGATTTTATTTTGATATTTGAAGACCACGAGAATCTTCCAATTTACAACTAGAAGTTAAAAAAGAACTAACACAAATAAAATACACTTCAGTTAAATACTTATATATTTTTTCAAACCACGCGGAGCCACAGGTTGCCGACCCCTGGACTGTGCTCTAAGAAATGCCCCCCCTACAGTGCCAGGCCTCCAGAATAAACTCACACTGATAACAGTGCGTGGTATACAGTGGCATGATAAATGAAGCTGGAGCCACTGTAATTAAGGACCATCACACTTTAATTGTTCAGTTCTGTGCATGCATTTATACATGTGCATATATGACTGTATGATATGCTGATGATAAACTAACAGCAGGTATTCAAGTTTTCGCCAGGTTTTTCTTGTGGAGTGTTAGTGATAGAGTTCATAGAGAGCCCTGCCCACTCATGGCAGATCTTTAGCTGCACAAGAGTCACGGGACTTTCTTACTTGCACAACTTGTGGGATGTGCTAAAGTCCCTTTGCCCCAGGAAGTACCTCCTATTTGTTATGTAAAGCTGACTTTGTGTTTAGGAGCAAACTGTGAGGACGGCTGTTTTTTCCCAACAGTCTGATGGAAGCGGACTCCCCTCTTTTGTTGGCTGCAGTGTCCCTGCTGTCAGTTCTGCACATGGGTAAGTAAAACACAGCAGCTTAATGGATGTTGTGCATGTCAAAGTATTGTCCCAACTTGTGTGGGTGTGGTTTCCCACTCCTGTGTAGGTACTGTGCAACAGCAAGACTAGGCAAGTTTTACACTTAGCACTCCACTCATTTAGTGATCATCAGATCACATCTATGCGGATTTCCTCTTGTCAGCAGCTTGAACATGGTTTCCCACACAGAAAAGCACATACATTCTAAATGCAAACAACATCCTTATTATTTTAAATGTGTGCATTTATCAAATCAAATCACTTTTATTGTCACATCACATGTGCAGGTACACTGGTACAGCACATGCGAGTGAAATTCTTGTGTGCGAGCTTCACAAGCAACAGAGGTGTGCAAAGTACAATAACATAAGCAAATATGAGAATGGCTAAATCTGAGAATTATATGAAGAAATATGTGTACAATATAAGAGTGTATGCACATTACTGAATGTGTATACTAAATATGTATGTCTACGTGTGTGTGTGTGTGTGTGCACATATTTTACAAATTAAATAGAGTAAACAATAACATAAATATATAAAATATAGAGGTTGTTAGTTGGATATTGTGCAAAACAGTGGCATTACTGTACAGTATGGAGTGCATAATGTTGAAGTTCCAGTAGTGAAGCTGAGGTGTCTATGAAGTGTTCAGCAGTCTGATGGCCTGGTGGAAGAAGCTGTCTCTCAGTCTGCTGGTACGGGACCGGATGCTGCAGAACCTCCTTCCTGATGGAAGCAGTCTGAACAGTTTATGCTGGGGTGACTGGAGTCCTTGATGATCCTCCCGCTTTCCTCAGGCAGCGCTTCCTGTAGATGTCTTGGAGGGAGGGAAGCTCACCTCCAATTATCCGTTCAGAGCACCGCACTACTCGCTGGAGAGCTTTGCAGTTGTAGGCGGTGCTGTTGCCATACCAGGTGGTGATGCATCCAGTGAGGATGCTCTCAATGGCACAGTGATAGAAGGTCCTCCCCTTTATACTAGTTTATTGATTTATACTGAGCAATCTCCACTTTTTGCACATATGTTGAACAGTATATGTTGCCGTGTTTTAAGTATAGTATTCTTATAGTATTTTCAGACTTTGATTCTTGTGGGCCTTTAATGTGGCTTCAAGCGTTTCTTCGCCCAGAAAAACTGTGTGCAGGTTTAACTATCACCAGGCCAGTGTTAACCGGAATTCTTGATCATGGCTATTGTTGATGCATTTTCTAATGTGGAATCATTCTGAGGAGAATGTCAAAAACATGATAATGCGAACACCACGGCTCACCATGAAGCTCAGAATATTCTTCTGGGTAGAATCTAGACTCTGTAGAGCATTTGGACAACTACGAATCTGCTTTGAGACAGAGGAGCTGAGAAGTGCCTGCTGTTCAACTGACACTTCATGGAGCTTGGTCAGTTTTATCATGGTGGTCTACAGAGAGACATTCATGGCTTGGATTTTGTTCCAATGTTCAATTTTATCCCTTGAAAACAAAATCTACAATTTATTAAACTGTGCAAAAAAAAAAATTAGGTGGCTAAAATAGGAAATATACTTGTGAATTGTACAAAGAAACATGTAAAGAAACCTCTGTCACTGTCTCCTCTCAGGCTACCTGGCTCGGCGGGTAGGAAGATCCAGGATGGCTTACAACATCGTACCTCCTGTTGTCACTGGACCTCCAGAATTTGAGAGGACATTCCGTGCACAGTAAGAAGACCTGATTGTAATGCTATAGTCAAATGAACTGAAGGGTAAAACTAGTTTAAACAGACTACTTTAAAGTAGTAGTCTGATTACAGAGTGATATGGGAGAGAATGCCTGAGGAATGGAGAAACAGTTTACTGGTACCACACCATGAAGTTATTCAAAGGAGTTTCTGAAGCTAGGTTAAGAAGAGAGCTGACAATCAGTGAGCAGCAGTGTGGCGGAGGGAGCTGATCTGCAGTCAGAGTAGGGACAAGGTGGAGCTCCAAGGATGTCCTAACATTACCTGTGTTTGTTCTCAGTCAGAACTGTGTGGAGTTCTACCCTCTCTTCCTGGTGTCGATGTGGACCTGTGGTACCTTCTTCAGTGAGGTGATTGCAGCTGCAGGAGGGCTAGTGTACATGGTCGCTCGACAGATGTATTTCAGTGGATATATCACGTCCCCCAAGAAAAGGTCTTTCATGATACTAAAATATCAAATACTTAAAAGCACATGGTGGCAGCGCTGACTCTAAAGTATCTGATGTTTGACCTATTACAGCACGCTGACTGAGTACTTTCTGGTTTGTAGGTTACCTGGCTTTATTCTGAATTTGGTTGTCCTCGGCATTCTGTCCCTGCTGGGTTCGATTGGAGTGCTGCGTGGAATACTATACAAATACTTTCTTATCTAACTTTGAAAAATGTCATCAAACTGTGCAAACCAACAAATAAAGTTATTTGTATTTGGTAGAAGTTTTTATAAAATTATTTTCCAATGTTTATATTTTCAGTTCTTTATAGTTTAGAGTAGGTTTACATGTTCAGTTGTTGTTGTTTCTAAATTAGTTTCAGTGTTTGATTCGGTGCTGTATATGTTTCCTTATTATTATACTATGTGTGTATTTACGATTAACTTTTCAGTTTTACTTTTCGAGTTAACTATTTTCTTTCTCTATACTTTTAGCTTGGTTTTTATTCATTAATATAATCTTGGAACAAAGACATATAATAGCATAAATATCTGTTAGATTTAACTGTGTGACCATGGCCTGCATAGCTTATCTAAAACAGCATTTTCCAACTTCAAAAAAGGAGTGGCTTTAAGCGATTTACCTTCAAGTGTGCAACACCTTAAGTGTTGTTTCCGGCAAGAACTGTGGTACAATGAAATAACTGCAAACAGTGGAAAAAAAAGGGGGGGGGAGATGAACTATGATGTCGTTCTATTGTTTGTCCCAGCGGGGTGTACGGCGCCCCCTGGCGGCTGTGAGGTGCAAGTGCCTGATAATATCCAATGAATTCTAGCACTGCCGAGAACATTCAAGCTGTGCTGAATTACGCTAGTCTTTAATTTTCCTATCGATATTTAGCGCTGCAACGTTTGTTTTTCACGTCGCTGGGTATGGGTCCTTTCATTTTACGGCTTATACCTAACTGCGTGTGGCGGCTAATTTTAAATAGCCTCCGGCTAACGGTTATTAGCATAGCAGCAGCTAGTTAGCACCACACTGTTAGCACGGTGTGGTTTACTTTGGCCAGCTGGTCTCTTTGATCAGTTTTAAAAAATACCCGTGGTTCACGTGACCTTTAGAAGGGTCCGATACCAGACAAACAAGCGGTCTTAGGGGTTAGCTGTTAGCATTATTAACGCTGTTGTAGGCACTGTCTCTTAGTCACGGCGCTGCACTGGTGTGCTGAGAATAATAAACTCTTGTTAAAATGTGTTGTTATTATTATAGGTGTGGCAAAAGTGATGATTAAAAAGAATTGTGTGCACCGCATGACAACAAAATGTAAGCGTTTACTGCCATGTGACAGCTGAGGCAGCTGCCCAGAGCAGTTTTGGTAAACAGCATTTCATCACGTTGTGTAACATACGTGTAAAAAGCTGTACGGTCGTTTTCAAGCATGCGTAGCTTTTGTTACAAACAGTGGATAAGCTAACTTACAGATATTTAACTGTCAAATGTTCCTGCAGTGTCCCCGAGAGTCGCAGCCCTGCATTCCAAAAAGGAAGACGAGTACTTCACCATGAGCTCAGAGGATGGTGAGACAACACACACACACCCCTCCACAGTGTGCATGTTCACTCTTTCCTGCGCCTGACGGCTCCGTTCGCCTGCTGCAGGTGACATGGAGAACCAGGCTGAGCTGGAAGAGAAGACCAGGCTCATCAACCAGGTGTTGGAGCTTCAGCACACTTTAGAGGGTAGGCACGTGCAGCCTCACAGCTGTTACCTGCTAAAATGGAAAAGGAATGTTTTAAATATAAACTGTAAGGTTTCTTGTGGGGTGGCTTAGACTCGTGTTGCAGCTTCATGTCACGCTGGGTTTGTAGATGAAATTGTGCATTTACATTTTTAAAGGTTGCCCCTAACTTTACGCACTGTAGATGGGCTTTTAGTGGGAAGCATCAGAATGTTGATTTCTCTATGTGAATGTTACTCATAAATGTATCTGTGCCAGCAGAATGTTCACAGATTGATAACACACAGCAACACTACATCACTCAGAGTGGATTTGAGCTGTTTAGCCTCATTTTTAAACCAGCTTAGTTTGGCCCGTTGAACTCTGCACCGTCTGGCTGATAGTAGAAACTCATTCTGAGAGTTCTGGTTGCACAGTGTTTGAACATCAGTGGGGAAAGGTGACTTCAACACAACCCTACAGTCTCTGCAGTGTGGACAAAGTCCTTGGTGTTTCACGCCAAGTCAGTGGTCGATGGTGGCCTCAGCGATTGCCTTACTTTCTGAATCAATACAAATCTTCTTATTATGGTTAAATATAATTTCCCTGTTGCACGTGCAGCACTGAGATGTGTTGTGTGAACAGACACACACATTTATTTTGTGTTTGGAGAGATCAGGAGGTGTGACAGAAATGAAGGAAACACAGAATAGGTGCACCTAACATAACAGTGTTTGCTGAACTATGAATGAGCTATAAATGTTTTTTTAATGGATTCTTGGATAATGATGATGTTTTAAACTGTAATGAATACGTTTACCACCCTTGTAGTTTCCACATTCCTGTATGGTTGACTGATGTTTTTGTTGACGTGTTCAGACCTGTCTGCCCGAGTCGATGCTGTAAAGGAAGAGAACCTGAAGCTGAAGTCGGAGAACCAGGTCCTGGGTCAGTACATTGAGAACCTCATGTCGGCTTCCAGTGTCTTTCAGACCACTGACACCAAGAGCAAACGAAAGTAAGGAGACCTTCAGAGAGGCCTGACCTAAATCCACCCCTCCACCGTCCCTAACAGAGCCCAGAGCGTACCAGAGGACTGGACTCACGGACCCTTTAATACTGCTGAAACCCGTTTCTGTCTCGAACATGTGCAAATAAGGGAATTTGTTGTTTTCGTAATGTGGCTGCAGTGGCCAGTGTTGCATTCATTAAAAGAGAATGTCCAGAAGAAAAAGAAGAAAGGGAGACCTGATCCAGAGCTGCACATTAATATTAAACCTAACTCACGAGCTGACACACACTTCAGCTGTGTCAGGAAGGACAGCTGGCCTGAATCCTCTTCTGATATCTGAGTGCCTGAAATCTGTGCAAGTCTACAGAAGGAAAACATGCTTTGCTGTTTTTCCCACATAATGAGTCCTGTTTCATAAAGTACGGTTCTGTGAGGTGTTTAGCACTTTCCTAAGTTCTTATTTTCTTTGCATATTTGTTACAGATCATCAAAAGTTAGACTTTGAAATGAGAAAAATGCAGTTTTTAAATGATCGTTACACATGTTAAAGCTGTGCAAACCAACCTATGTGAGAAAAGTAATCCCGACTTGATCCGATTGAGTGATGTGAGACACTCGTTGCCACTTAACACAAATAATTGACAGCAGTTGTTGCACAACCAGTTATTTGGTCTTTGGGGGTAATAACCATAAGTAGGGACAGAAAGGTGGGTTTGTATCGTTTATTTCCCTTAAATAATCTAATAATCATTTAAAAACTACATTTTATATTTGCTCTGGTTATCTTTGTCTAATATGAGCGTTTGTTTGATCTGAAACATGTAAGTGTGACAAATATGTAAAAGACCTCAGGAAGTTGGAGGAACACTTCTACACGACACTGTCAATCCCATTTGTTCTTCTGGAACATCTAAATGATGAGATAGGATTCAAGCAGCTGTCACCTGGTTAACTGTAACACCAACTCTGTGGACATCACAGTTAGTCAGTTCAGTTATGTTTGCAAACTCGTGGCACACAAACAGGAAACCGGTGAGATACCTGGAACTAGACTTTCTAGAATCCTGTTGTGTAATGTGTTGATGTAAACAAAGAAACCAGACCCAATCAGTGTGTAAGACGGGCTTCCTGTTTAAGCGACGGTGACTGCTTTGAGTTTCAGAAGACGTAAGAGCTCAGCTTTTGTGCCATGTTCATATATTCAGACTTTGTTTTTTGGCATTTTGCACACATACAAAGCAAAGACAAAAGTGCAATCTTACACTGGCCTTTTGTGTATCAGCAAACAAGCTGAACTCGTGGTTAGGTTTCCACCTTTAGGAAGCCTGCTGAGGGGCAGCAGTCTTGTGAGCTGTACTGCATGTACGTTTTGGAGTCATTAAATAAATAATGGTTTGCTTTTATATGGCTATTCTGTGAGTGTGACAAAAGTCTCGGTGTTTTCATGTATTCGGTGCTCACAGATGTAAATCAGCGGAAACAAGAATAATAGATTAGCTTCCAGTCAGTGTGGTTAGTGTTACACCTCCTGCAGATCTTCTGATACACAGGAAGGCATCACCGAAGAACTGACACTGGATTACAGTTGTCACAGTTCAGATGATGCTTTGAAAATACCGGTGACGTTACTGCTCCTGAGCGCTGCACACAGGCCTGACACACAAAAAGAAAACTTCCACACCACAGATGTTGAAGTGTTTACATTAAATTCTGTCTTCTGCTCTCGATACTTGTTAGTGAGGAGCTTGGCTTGATCTAAGATGGATTGACACACCTTGTTTTAATTCTGAGTCAGTGTTGCTGCCATTGCTACAGCTCCAGTGGATCTTTGAATGGCTACTTTAGTTCCAAACCCCTGGTCTTTGTCATTTCAGCGTGATGTCACTTCCTCTTTCTTGCTGCTCGGGTTGGGATTAAACAACACTAGTGGCACTGTTTGAGTTCACAGCTAAAACCATGATGTGTCATTTTGATTTGAGCCTGTGTGCGCTGATTGATGAACTTCTCTTTAACCATGCTGTATACTGTTTACATTTTGTTCGATTGCCAGTTTGACTTGGCAAGTCTTAGTTAAATAAAGTTACGATCTTTTCATGACGTTTCTAAGTGATATTTCTTGAGCTAACAATCTCTTTGTTTTATTTGCCGCTCACGGAGTCAACTAAAGGTGTTCACCAGGACCTGATACCATCCATTATGCATTTAACAGCTGGTGTATGAATAAGAACACAGAAAGGTGGTCAAACTAAAAAAAGGAAAGAAACTATTTTGGTATATTCAACTATATAATAATAACGAGAAGAATATGTACAAATGATGACAAAGATGCAATTTAAAATAGTATCTTTGCTACAGTGTTACATCTGAGTTGTTTTTATGGTCAACTTTGATTCCCTGGGTCTTTTCCTGTGTGTTATAACTTTTCGATATATTTTCATGTGCCTTATATTTGCTTTGTGACTATGTGTCTTATTTTGAAAGAAATATTTACACGTTACCATAGCGACCAGAGAGCATTAAGGGGCAGAGAGGAGGATGCTACTCTCAGTGTTGTTGGCGCATTTCAGGAGGACTAATAAAATAAAGGACTAACAAAGTTACACAATTACAGTGAATTTGCATTTATTATTATATTTACAAGATACCACAGATTTTGTCTTGGTCGTATCATTTTATTTTGTTGTGTTTATCTGCGACAGCTTAAAGACTGGTCCGTGAAAATGTTGTCTGACATTAAACCGGTCCATGGCGCAAAAAAGGTCGGGGACCGCTGGTCTAAACAACACTGGATCATCTCGAGTTTGGTGCCTTTCTCATGCTTGAATGGTTCATAGATTTATGCTAAGTGGCTTAACAAACAAAAGATTTCTCTGGAAGTGGTCAGTTAAAGGACTAGAGTGAAAGTGACCAGTATCAAACACCACTATCCAAAGAAAGGCCCCCAGAAAGCCTGGAGACCTGCTGCTCAAGAACAAAAAAAATGCAATATTAAATTTTTGCAGATGTGAATTTCAAAATATTTTGCTCGGTTATATTTATATCAGCGGTGCATTAGTATCATTGAGTCAGAAGAAACTACAGTGTGTGTCTAGCTCTCAGGGAACTGATGCAGCTGCTACCTTCTGTGCATCCATATAGCATCAGACTGTGGATACAAACACTACATCAGAATCCTCTGCATGCTTTAATGCTGGATTTTGCTTGCGTCAAGTAAAATATAGAGTGTCACCATACTTGGACAGCCTATAGGAATGGCCTGTATCAGATGCATGATGAGATGAAACTTGACATCTTTGAGCATCAAACTAAAGAGTGCTGTCGCTGCAGGGGATTCTTTGGACTTTGAAGAACCTGTTTTGCGTTTTTAAACAAAGAGCTGAAATGAAATCCTTACAAGACAACTTGATACCGGGTATTCTTTATTTGTAACAAAAATAGAATAGTGCAGTAATTTACTCAGTGAATAGCTCTGGTGTTACATCAGTGAAACGTTTGGGTAATATGAGCCACCACTGTGGCCAATTTGGACACTTCCATCCATCCTTATTCACATAACAGGCAGTTTAGGCACATGTAAGCCTTTTATTGGACGTCCATGTAGACAAAGTCTTTGTGAAGCAGGTGGCACACTAATCAGCCTGAGTGAGAGTTTCCTTCTTGTCTGTGGTCTTCAAACTTTAATGAGTATCTGACAGACAGAAAGAAAAAGAAAAGTGTTAACCACACACAGCATCCACTGACGCCACCACCCGCCTCTTCCTGGCTTATTGTTTAGGTTAACAAGTAACACAAAGAAAAACTGAGCTTTGTAGATTTTCACAGACCGAGTCATTGCAGGGAAACCTGCACGCATGAGGTATATGTTGAAACAACTTGGTGCACCTCAGAATAACTTCAGTCAGACTAGCTGCTGTGTGATTGAACGTCTGCATGCCACCACAAGCCCAGTTGTGAAAGTAACAGCGGAGCTCAATAAGGGCGTTTCGTCATAATTTTTTTTCTATATTATTTCTGTTCTTTCCAGTCTGACCTCATACTTCATAGGAAGAGAGTAAGAGGTCAGACCGGTTGTACAACAAGCCTGGTTTTCTACCTGATCTGTTTTTAATGAATATTCCTGTTTGATTTAACAGGAACTGAAGGTAGTCTGAAACTATGGGCTCAAAATGTGGTCAGAAATATTTTGTACTTGTAAAAAAGATTTGTGTGTGGACTTAGCCAAAAAAACCCTGCAAGTTACAAGTACGAATTTTGA